GAGATGTTCTAACACTTCCAACTTTTTTTTATATATAAAACAAAAGTTTGTTTTTACCTGGAGAGTAATATCTTTAAAGCTTAATATAGAAGAGAAACTGTATGTGAATAAGTGTCCCTGTGCAACGTTTACATATGTGTTTTATGTAATATTAAATAAATGGAGTAATCCAAAGCTTAAAGTAGAACTTAAGTAGTAGATGGTGAAGGAACTTCCATCCATGATCTTGATCTATTTATTTTTGTTTTGTATTACCGATAAATTATCTTCCCACCTATTCCCATTAACTATCTCCTCACCCTGTCCTTTACCAGACGCCTGTAGTTCTCTAGGCTACAGGGTTTATGTATCCCAATACCAAAAGTGGGTTAGCACCACAATGTTACAAACCTGTTAAGCAAAGCTTCTCCACTTCTATTTATTATGAAATAAAAAGTAAATAAGAGGATCAGAGCGGTCATTTAAAGTGGACCTTTACCCCCTTTCACTAAAAATCACAGCATGCAGCTCTGCATGCTGATTTGTAATCATATTGCATTAATTAGTTAAACTTGTTTTTCATTTACTTACAAATAGAGTTCATCTAATTCCTGGTCTACTTCTGGCGCAAATGATGTAATGTGCCAAAGCGTTGCATCCTGGGAAGATTACATCAGCAGAGCATTGCTGGGAAATCCCATCTGTAATCTAATGAGATCTCAGGTAAAGGCATTTTCCTCCCCTGAGATAATGTGCGTGGTCACATGTCCTAATCACATGTGCCAAAGTTCCAGCAACTAATAGGAGAGCTAGTAATCTGCCCTTAGTTAAAATTGCCACTGTCAGAAGACATGAAAAGAAAAGAGAAATAATGCATGCAAAGAATACAAAGCCTGCAATTATCTAGAAGTATGTGTTTGAAGATTGTCATCACTAAACATTTCTAAAAGGTGAATTTGTTGTTATTTTAAATATATGGGTAAAGTTCCTCTTTAGCTGCTCCTTTTAACAGTGAAAGATCTTTTAATGTCAATATTTGATATATATTGTGCTGA